TTCATAACGGCGTCTCTGGTAAATTTTGGCCGTCGACCAGTGTATTTGTTTAAAAATACCTTTACAAACATCTTTTAATTGCCAGCGTCCATATTTGTTTANGCAAATATCTCAAAAACGGTACCATAAAATTAAAAATAACCTTGATTTTCGGAATCAGGGGGTGATTTTACATACGAATTTCATAACGGCGTCTCTGGTAAATTTTGGCCGTCGACCAGTGTATTTGTTTAAAAATACCTTTACAAACATCTTTTAATTGCCAGCGTCCATATTTGTTTACTTTTTAACCGACTTCAAAAAAAGGAGGAGGTTATCAATTCGTCGGAATATTTTATTTTATTTTTTTGTTATGTTTGTTACCGCATAACTTTGGACCACGTTAACCGATTTCGAAAATTATTTTTGCATCGGAAAGGTAGTGTCTCAGAGGTGGTCCTATACTAATCTGTTTTAGACCCGATCATTGGATCATCAAAAAATTAACGGTACTCCTAAATTTTTATTTGAGAATTGAAGTTGGTTTTGTGTTTTGCTTAAAAATTACTTGTTAATTTGGAATATCTCATTCTTCGCAAAAATGATCGCTAAAACTGGGTTGGGCATCGAAAGGTTATCGGTTTAATCTGAGGTTATTTCATAATTACAGATTAACGAGGAACAAATTTTGCATGAATAATCTCTGTTTCTAATTATAATTACAGATTAGGGAGTTAAGCTAGAAAATGAGGGTAATATATTATCCTTTACAACACTGAAAGACTAGCTAACGTCGCGTCTTCACATGTTAAAATCATTGCCTACCATATGTAATTTTGTTTGCCAGATGTGAGACATTCTTTTTCATATCGGACATTAAATTTGGAGTCACACTTTCGATTGGGTCAGCTAACACGTGTTCGAGGAATTTTTTGCTTTTTTCTTTGGAGATATGATCTGTCAAAATTTGCATTTTTTCTTGATTCTGACTAATCATGTACTTCTTCAAATCGTTATACCTCGGGTTCTGCTCATCGTAGGGACTTCATCTTAACGTCGTATTAACGCTAAAGAAATGGGTTTAACATTTCTATATATAATATGGTCAAGATTGCCCTAAAGTTACTTAGCTATTAGCAGTTAAACTTGTTGAAGTTGTTTTGCATAGTGAAGACCAGCAAATTAGAGATTTAAAATTATACCATCGTAATCCATGTGTAATCTACTATATACTTGTGAAAGTATGTATGTATGTGCCAGCTTACAGTCTAAACGGACGGACAGAATCGAACAAAATTTCGACAGAGTATTACCATGACAGCTGGGCCTATAATAGGATGAAAAAAACTGGGATCCGACAAGGGGGCGTGGCACCTTCTGTAGGCGTGAAATTTTTAATCAGCCATAACTTCCAGATCATAAGTCACATGAACTTGAAACTTGGTACCCAGACATGTCAATGGTAGATGCTTCTAGGCAGGTATATATAAACGAGTTTGTAAAAGGGGGCGTGGCAATCCCATATAACTATAACTTTGGAACCATAAGTTCCACGAACTTGAAATTTGGTATGCAGATATATCAATGGTAGGTGCTTATAGGAGGGTACGTATAAGCGAGTTTGTAAATGGGGGCGTGACACATCGTGAAATTTTTTATCAGGTATAACTTCGGAACCATAAGTCGCACGAACTTGAAATTATAAATGAGTTTGTAAAAAATGGCGTGGCAAATCCTATAGGTGTGGAAAATTATATCAGCTATAACTTCAAACCCATAAGTCACATGAAATTTAAATTTAGTATGCAGACATGTCATGGTGTATATGAATGAGTATGGCTCATATGTATAAGTTTTATCAGAGGTAATATTTGTATGTGGGGATTTTCTATCTTGATAAAAGCATTTGTAAGATGGCTTAAAACAAGTATGTTCGTTAAATTGGGCGCACTTTAACTTTACAAAATGTGTTATTTCGCATAAAAGTACATAATCAAAAATAACACAGACCCAGCGGGGGACTCAGACTTTTTTTGAGGGTGTCTGTGGGCACTTGAAATTCTCTATCCAAATAAAATGTAAAAAAGTTGTGTTAAGTTTTTTAAGATAGGGTGTTTTCGAACTGAATTTTCTCCACGAAAACGGGGAATTTTGGAAAACGCATATCTCCTACGAAAATGTATGGAATCATAGTTTTCCTATTATTTTTCCCATTTTCTGTCTGCTTCCCAGCTAGTCGAAAAGTAGTTTAGCACCGCTTAGCGCGCTTGGGACATTTCACGTCAATTCCCCCAGATGCGTATGTAATTTGTTGTACAAATATCTTACCTTTACCGGAAGGTTAAATAAAAATATCTAAAAAGTGTGGTTCTTAAATAAATATGTACATATAACGATCAAATAAGTGAACAGTTCGATTGAACGTTATTCCAATTTTGCTAGTTTATATCTGCGTATTCTTAGCTCACTGAATGATTTAAAAATAATAATCTATTACCAGCCATAATAATATTTATGTAAATGTATCTATGACACTTCCTCCAGGAATAAACCCAAATATATCAACACTGTTATCATCATGAATACTATGACAAATGTGAAGAATGTGCTCAAGCTCAGTGAAACAGATTTGAAAGGCGGAAAAAAATCATGGCACGAAATGTATAAAGATTCAGCTTGGATATTCGTTGGTGGTCTGCCTTACACCCTCACAGAGGGCGATGTCATCTGTGTGTTTTCACAATACGGCGAAATTGTTAATATCAACCTGATAAGAGATAAAAGTAGTGGCAAATCGAAAGGGTTCTGCTTTCTATGCTACGAAGATCAGCGTTCAACCATTTTGGCAGTGGACAATTTAAATGGCATTAAACTACTTGGACGTACTATACGGGTAGATCATGTGGCCGATTATAAACCGCCGAAAGAAAATGAGAAAATGGACGAAGAGACTTTAAGACTGTATATGGAGGGCTGTGCGCCGAAACCTATGGTGCATAAAAAGGAACGCTCATGAAGGATAGAAAATAATTTAAAAAAATGTACAAATGATGTGTAGTATTTCTACAAATCAAATAAAGGGAAAATACATACATATCTATGTATGTATAAGGGGCGTTAATTGTATGAGGTTTTGAAAAGTGAAGAGGTCGATAGTGCCGTGCGGAGATTATGTATATCAGTGGGAAGTCAGGATAACAAAGGAGTCGTTTTTTTCGTACATTTTAGCATATTCGGCGCTTAAGACACAATCGGCTGACTTTAAGGCCATAAAATATAACAAATTTCGGGAATCGTTTTTCAAATTTGTACAAACGACTAAAGAATTTTACGGTATTTATATTGCAGCAGTTTAAATTTCTACTTATCTAGACTAGATCTTGCCGTTCGCAGCGTTTGTCCTCCATGTGAAGGTTCCGCTCACGATACCAACTTCGCATGCCCCTTAAGGCGAACCCAAGTAAAACTCCTTTCCAAAAAAATTTTAAACGTTCTGCTCGACTTACTACCGATAGATCTTTTGACCGAAAACTCGGCTGCTAATAGTGCCATCAGACTGCGGTTATGGAAGGGAAGACCGTCCGGGCAAAGTTCTATCCAAACGCACTACCTCCCGAAATTAAACCGCTGCCCACTGACTATATCCTGTGAAACCCGTAGCTCACCACATACTCTGCACGAAATTCCCAAGCTGCAATGACTGAACTCAGGGAGGGGCCAGTTCGTTGAGGGCTTAACTGTCTTTACGAACGAAGCACAGTTAGAATGCGGGGTTGGTGTAGGGACTTTCATTGAAAAATGTAACCTTAAGTTATTATTTCGCTTACCGCACCATGTAAGCGTTCTCCTCGTTGAAACTTTTCGTTACGGTCGCTACGCCCAGGGAGATCAACCATACATGATCGTATAGGATTACCCAGCAGTTCTGGGTATCCTAGGGATAACTTCAAACCAGGGATCTTTTAAGAATGAGCAAGGAAAATACCTGCAAACTCACTACAGTTTCCAAAGGGCTAAGTAGCCGCTACAACAAAAACCACTAAAAACCCACACAGCAAAACTATTACATCTTAATTTCAATCCTGCGGTGAATGATATTAAAGAGTTATTTCTTAACCACAGGTGATAAGAGTATCCAATTAACGCAGCTTTATTAAACGTTGGCATTTCTTTATGGTTGAGCATATCGGATATTTGTATTGTACGCCATGACTTAGGAATAAAAGAGACTGATGCTATGCATTGATGCGTTTAAGACGACAGCCTAAACATTTATAACTGATACACAGTGCTTTGATTGGGACAAATTGAGTTCTAGGTACGCTTTTATTCATATTTAAGTAAACTTAGGTAAAACATATACATATATAAAACAGCACTTCGAGCAAAGGTAAGTAACATTTTAACCTACCTTTCTTACCAGCTCAAGTGAGGACCACATCGCACCCGAAATCAAAACTATATAAAGAACATTTTTTCTCCACAATCTCCAGAAATGGGGTGAAAGGTGGCGCGTGACGTGAGGCTGCCATACAGCTAAAGTCATGTGCATCGCAAGAACGAAATCAAACAAATTCATTGCAGGTTTAATTGAGAGAAAGAGTAGGTACTACATATATTTTGTTTTCCGGGGTGGCCCAAGCCCAAACAAACAATGTGCACTTTCATAAGGGTAATTCTTTGACAAATATGCGCGAAAAATATATCCATACTTTAATTGTTATTTTAAATACATACATATTTTTATTTTATAAAAATGCTTACTTCCAATTATAAATTAGAAATTTTCAGACTTCCTCGAAGTAAAATTTTGTTTCATTATTTAAGTTTATCACATTTCTAGAAATAGATGATTCTAAGGTGCCTTTACTGGGCATACGAATATTGTAGTATTATTTATGTTTAAAAAACATTACTTTATAAAGATATGTTGATAGCTCAGCGTTAGGCTAAAAACATACGGGAGAGGCGAGCAAAGCATCGAGCGAAGCGTCGATTACAAAACGTGTATGTTTCAACCGGAGCGCATATACACATCTATGCTTTGGCCTTAACTATGCGCGCTCCAATTAAAACATGCACGTTACGAAAAACAAAACGGTAAACTTATGTATATTTATCACTCTAGTAAAAATTTACAAATTATTAGTGGTATTCACCAAATTGAGCAGTGGCCTGGCGTTCTAGCAAAAGAGCAGATGACTGTTGACACCAGTCTGCCAGGCCACTCTCTCACTGGTGAATACCGCTATTGTATCCATTAAAAATCCGACAAAGTAGTAAAAGTAAGAAAAGGGGGATTTTTCCAATGCGGCCATTGTACCTATCTATGAATTTTACGATGTTTTTTTATTCCTGTAAGAAATAAGCAAAAATTCAGTTCAAAGAAATTTTAAAACGATTGTTATCCTTACGTACTTGCATTGCAATACTGTCCATAGAAGCCCGGATCACATTTGCAGGTCTTATTTGGCATACAAACGCCATGCTTACAAGGACGCCTGCAGGTCGAACGCTGCCTACGACCGATTTCGCAATGATTACCGAGCAACCCGCTTGGACAGCGGCAAATATTGGTGCCAATGCAGCGACCGCCATTTTTGCATGGAATCACACATTTAGCTGTGGATAAATAACGCAGTAGAAGTATTTATAAAAATAAAAAAATAAAAAAATGTAAGCTTACAATATTCACATCGCAGTCCATAGTATCCTTTGGAACACTGGCATTTATCCTTTTGTATGCACTTGCCGCCATTTAAGCATTTCTCGGTGCAGATGCCTGAAAATAGTTGATTTTAAAGTTGGAGTTATTAAATATAGTTCCTAACTACTAAATTACATATACTTATTGCCATTTAATATGTGGTATCTACTTTCACTTATTTAGAAACTTTGCAAATAGTATTCAAGCATGTCACGCTTCTCGACCTTCTCCCGCACCAACAGCTGGGGTATTATCCAGTGCCGTTCGATTTTACAGCAGCAAAGTCGAAATGCCTCAACCGAATACGGCAGCCCACAGACAGCAGATTGCAAGACGACCACATTACGAAAGCGGCCAACACCTTTGACAGATGAGATCATACGTGTTGATCATGCTGGCGAATTGGGCGCTGATCGCATCTATGCGGGGCAAATGTACGTTTTGGGCAATGGCCCAATGGGTAAGACAATCGCACACATGTGGGAGCAGGAGAAAGAGCATCGGAAGAGATTCGAGAATCTAATGCAAGAACACCGTGTGCGGCCAACGATAATGTTACCAATTTGGAATGTGGCCGGCTTTGTGTTGGGTGCAGGTACATTTATAAAACTTTGGGGTTGAACTTTTTTGAAGTCAGGTATTCATTTTTTATTTCAGGCACAGCACTGCTGGGTGAGAAAGCGGCTATGGCGTGCACTGTTGCTGTGGAAACAGTCATCGTGGATCATTACAATGAGCAACTGCGACAAATCATGGAATCTCCTAAACCAGATAAGGTGACTAAGTATGCTTTGATATATGTATACATTAGACTGCGCCAAATAAAACGAATGTTTTTTCTTTCGGCCCCATATCGAAGTTTTGTTATTGGTTATGCATAGTATTATGTATTCTGTTCACGCTGTGAAACTTGTTGGCAACATGAAGCTGGCAATACAATTTTCACGACAATTTAAAATACACATGTACATCAGGGTGCCCATCAAAAAAGTTTTTTTTGTTGTTTTTGGAAATTTGAAGACCCTACCCCCTAATTTTATTCGTTTTTATGAGAAATTTTATTGTCTGTTTTTATAGATTTTTTAAAGGTGATTTAGGGGTCGCGACCTGTCGATTTATGTCAAAAAGTAGGATTTTGTAGATTTATGAGTTTTTGAATGACTATTTTTGATAAGATTTCAAAGATAGAAGAATATTATCTGAGAAGAGGATATAAAGGCTTCAAAATGGTGTATAATAATCTATTGTCGGACTAGGCTTGTGGGGATTTTTATCGGGTATATTAAAAAAATACCCATATTTCTCTTAATTTTTTTTTTTTAAATTTTGACCATCGATAATTTCTACAATTCCAAAATATGGGGTGCTATCTAAAATTAAATCTATTTTCCAATAAATTGATATCTCATTTATTGTAATCGCATAAAAATTGTCGAATTTAGGCGACTTTTCTTAAATACGGTCTTTAATATATATGTGTGTACGTACCGGAATTTCAGATTTTTTGAGCAGTGTGGTTAAGGAGTTCATCAATATTTATTCAAAATTGAGAGTGGCACCGCCTACTTATATGATATATGCGTATCTCAAAAACTACTTGCCCGACTTCGACCAAATTTGATAGTGAAATCTTATTTCACGGTTAAAAAAATTGCGGATGATGACTTATTATCAGGGAACGGATTTTTAGGACCTAAAAACCTATAAAAAAGGCAAAATAAAATAGCGAAAAAGGCAGGAAAAGGCACTAGGTATTGCAAAAAAGGCAAAACAAAATAGCGAAAAAGACAGGCACTAGCTATTGCAAAAAAAGCAAAATAAGGCACTAAAAAAAGACAGACAATACGAAGAACAATCAAAAAATACATTTATTTTAGAAATGTTTATATACAAGTAAAAAGAGGAAAACTATGAACTAGTTTTATTATATGAAAAATTTGTACCAAGGCGAATTTATATAAGGTGGTGTTGTTGCATCAGCTGTGAGTAGCGTTTGATTGTCAAAATTTTGAATTTCGTTAGTGAGTGAGTGAAAACGTGAGAGTGTTTGCATTTTCTGTCGCCGTTTTTCATTCGGGGAAGAATAGCTGAAATTTGACAAGCAAAAAAAAAAATACAAGTAATTGTTGTATTTCTTCAATCGATACCACCTTATATGTATTCGCCTTGATTTGTACTTTGAATCTTTGACTATTTTATCCTTTCGAGTTTCTAACTCATAAAACTTTTATCTGTATAGTTGTAGTAACATTGAACCACAAGATGCATTTTGAAGTTTTGTGGCAGCATTTTCATTCGATTTTCGCGAAGAAAAGCCTTGAATGTACAAAATGTGCGCTCGACGTAAGTTGATACAAGTGGAGCCCAATTTAAATATGGAACGTTTGAAACGTTCATATTATCAGGAATAAGGGCGTTTTCCTCGCCCTTTACAATTTTATCCACACCCCTTATTGTTTTCAAGCCTACGTTATCTGAGAAAACGGCTTTGAATTTTTCCAACACTAATTTAGCAAGAGGTCCCTGCGCTTTTATAAGCCGCATGGGCATGTGCATGTCATATATCTCCACTCCAAGTTCCACGGTGCCACGCGGCCTTTTCCAATAACCAATAATATGCAGTGTGAAAAATTCGGTTTGTATGGGAGGTGCCACGCCCCCTTTAGATATCGGTTTTGTTTTAGTCTATGAGCATCCTTGGAAAGTCTGTGTCGGAAATTTAAAAAAATCGGTACAGCCGTTCGTGAACTTTGCCGTTAAGAAAAACGGATTTCAAAATATATATGTTTGTAAGTACAGATAAATATTTTAGTTTCAGTTAAGTTTTACTTGCAATTTTTTAGTCATCGGATTTCATCCGCCGGTATAGGTTTTGGGGTGCCTCAAGCAAAATTAACTAATGTTTATACACATCGCAATGTACAACAAATATGATTGCAAACAATGAAAAACAATGAAATCAAACATCGTATTTGACCAAAAAACTATATTTTACTTCATTCTCTCAACTCCACATAATGTAGAAAAGCTAAGAAATATAATCAAATAAGATACATATATCACGACGCCCATGAATAACAAAAATCGGTTTGATTTAAACTTGTTTTTTTGATTTATTTTATACTTCAATTTTCGGTGTGTCAAAATAGGTTTGTTCGTCGAAAATCCAGCAAGAATTATCCAACACTCAAAATATCAGAGAGTAAGAAAAAATTTTCTCAAATTCTCTCTCATGTTGAGAAACTTGCAAATTTCTGCACGAACGCAAATTTGCAGGAATTTGCAAGTTTCGCTGCCAGCTGGCGTCAACGGTTGCATTTCAAATATAAAAAATTTTTATAGAATTTTTAAAATTCTTTCGGATGGCCAAAAACAGGATATACATGTATATTTCTTGTTGTTCTGACTTTCTTTAACATACATTTCAATTTCTTCATCGTACTAGCTGTCGGGTTTCTTAAATCGACTCTGGTTGCAATTGCATTCCGATTGCGAATACCATTTTTTTCAGCCGAATTAAGTTCAAATCATTGGAATTAACTAAATTAATTATATCAACAATTATTTACTTCCTTTTTTCATAAAAAAATCGCTCGTGTTTATAAATTTTTAAATTTAACGAACTAATTTATTCAAATTATTGTGGACAAAAATGCAACCATGCGCCACAACCACATGTTTTTCGTGTTTGCAAATTCTTGCTGGCAAAATTTTTTCCAGCAAGAATTTGCAACTTCTCTCCAAGAGAACTGTCACTTTGCTCTCACAATTTTTGAGTGTTGGATAATTTTTTGGTCTGCACGAACGCAATTTGGGCAAAAATCGTGATAATTCGTACAAATTCGTACAAATTTTTTTCTCGACGAACAAACCTAATTTCATGTGAAAACAATATGTGTTGCAACTGCCCAGCTGATAATACATTGCTATAAATTCACACCGAACGTGATACTTTAATAATTCGCGCAACGCTGCGGTTGTGATTGCAACTCGAACAACCCCATTGTCTCCAAGCGTACGTTAGCTGAGAAAACGGCTTTGCAATTTTCCAACACCAATTTGGCAAGAGGTCCCTGCGCTTTTATAAGCCATGTGTATATTTTTTAATCTTAAAAAAAAAATTGTAAATGCTATAATCACTTTTTCAAGGCGAATCTATACAAGGTGGTATTATCGGATCCGCTGATTTCACGGCGAATTTGTACCTTTTGTCAAAATCATGTGTTTGTTGTAATTTGGCTTTGTACTGATTGTCAAGGAGCGTATAATTTGTTGTTGTAATTTTTGTTTTTGTTCTGTTAACACCACCTTGTATAAATTCGCCTTGCACTTTTTTAAAGGTAGAAAAGGCAAAAAAAGGCAAATATCTTAAAAAAGGCAAAAAAGGAAAATATCTTAAAAAATGCAAAAAAAGGCAACATCAAATATGTATATATGGAATCAGGGAAAACGAAATATTGACATTCAAGAATCGCAAAATTATAAAAATTTCAGAACAAACTTTTGTTCTCATATTTTTTTTTTTAATTCGTGGGATATAATTAAGATAACAGTTATAAGTAACTATCTGAACAGCCCTTGGCTCGTTACCACATAATTCTTTTGCAGAAAAATCGTTAATATTGCAATTCTTGTTTTGATTTATTTTTAATAAATATTGTTAGCGTTTCAATACGTTCTGATTTAATAAGTAATTCATATAATACATTCCGGGACTGAAAGTGTGTGTAGGCAAGTTGAGTTTTATTTACAAATATATAATACACCATGTCGTATTACCGAAGTCATGAAGAAAACAGAAAATAAGTATATGACCAAGGTGGAAGNAATTCTTGCTGGCAAAATTTTTTCCAGCAAGAATTTGCAACTTCTCTCCAAGAGAACTGTCACTTTGCTCTCACAATTTTTGAGTGTTGGATAATTTTTTGGTCTGCACGAACGCAATTTGGGCAAAAATCGTGATAATTCGTACAAATTCGTACAAATTTTTTTCTCGACGAACAAACCTAATTTCATGTGAAAACAATATGTGTTGCAACTGCCCAGCTGATAATACATTGCTATAAATTCACACCGAACGTGATACTTTAATAATTCGCGCAACGCTGCGGTTGTGATTGCAACTCGAACAACCCCATTGTCTCCAAGCGTACGTTAGCTGAGAAAACGGCTTTGCAATTTTCCAACACCAATTTGGCAAGAGGTCCCTGCGCTTTTATAAGCCATGTGTATATTTTTTAATCTTAAAAAAAAAATTGTAAATGCTATAATCACTTTTTCAAGGCGAATCTATACAAGGTGGTATTATCGGATCCGCTGATTTCACGGCGAATTTGTACCTTTTGTCAAAATCATGTGTTTGTTGTAATTTGGCTTTGTACTGATTGTCAAGGAGCGTATAATTTGTTGTTGTAATTTTTGTTTTTGTTCTGTTAACACCACCTTGTATAAATTCGCCTTGCACTTTTTTAAAGGTAGAAAAGGCAAAAAAAGGCAAATATCTTAAAAAAGGCAAAAAAGGAAAATATCTTAAAAAATGCAAAAAAAGGCAACATCAAATATGTATATATGGAATCAGGGAAAACGAAATATTGACATTCAAGAATCGCAAAATTATAAAAATTTCAGAACAAACTTTTGTTCTCATATTTTTTTTTTGAATTCGTGGGATATAATTAAGATAACAGTTATAAGTAACTATCTGAACAGCCCTTGGCTCGTTACCACATAATTCTTTTGCAGAAAAATCGTTAATATTGCAATTCTTGTTTTGATT